GAATGTAGTCTAGTTTTGATGACTTTCCACCTAGTGTTGTCTCCAACGTTCTCAGTCAGTCCCGTGTTCCGAATAGCTTGCAGTAGTGTTCGGCCGAATTTTCCCTTAGCATACCCCGAGCCAAGGTTCAATGGTGGGGCATTGAGACCTCCAGCGATGGTAATTTGGTCATAGCACAAGTCTCATATCCCTGTGATAGTGCTGAGCAGTAGCTGATTGTGCTCTGCCCCACAGGTGGGAGATCGGTAGATGCCACCAAGTAAATGCTTGGTGTGGCCTACGGTGAAATGACACCATATGGAGTCTGGGAGTTCAATAAGTGGTGGGTCCGTTGCGCGCACACATTTAAGTTGTCTATCAAAGTATATAGCAACTCCCCTTCCTTCCCTATTATCCCTGTCTCTCCTGGCCAAAACCATATCACCTATACTGATTTCATTATCGGCGATAGTGGGGGTCAGCCATGTTTCGGTGAGAATGATCATTTTCAGTTGTAGGTGTGCTTGGAGATTTCGGAGTTCACCTATTTTTCCTCTCAGCCCCTCACATTGCTATATAGGCAGCTGACGGTGAGTCTTACAACCTCAGAGTGTTGTGGGGTAGTTGACGTGAAGCTGTCTGCTGGTAGGGGACTTAATGTTGGGATTAGTTGGCTAGTTCCGATGGAACCGGCCCGTTGTGGTTTTTTCCTATGGATTTAGGCAGGACACTTGGGTGAGACAAACTGTTATTCTCAGAACTGCATCGCTCTAGTGTCACTGAAGCTTGGGGACGTATTAAAGCCTCCGTTTGCTGCCTCCTTATGGTTCGAGGTTTGCTTTCGTAGCATCCAATGTTTCCCCCTATTTTCCGCTTGATCTCATACCACCGTTGAAGTGCTATGGCCAACTGCTCCGGGGAGTTGAATGTGACACTTAGCAGCTCTGGGGAGCTAACCAGTGTGAGATGAGCGGGGCGGGGTAGTCAGGAAATGGAGATGGCTCCAGAAGCGCCAAGGGCCATCTGACACAACAGCCATCTCCACTGCTGTACGTCATGCATGTGTTTTTCACGAGCAGTGCCCGTTTCCAGCTCCGGAACACCGTGTACCACCATAGAGTTAGAAGGCATCAGTTCCGGTGACTCCCCCACCATTTGTCTGATAGCCCAAGGTCTGTCTTGTCTCACCCTTATGTTCGAGCTTCTGTCGATGGCTAGTACCTGAGCCATCAATAGTACCTTTTCGGCCTCTTCGGCAGAGTCCAGCGTAACCCGTATTGGGGGTGGCTTACCTTGAGGTGTGTGGACACCCCTGTACAGCCTGCAAAATTTCACTGAACTAATGTTCAGACCTAATTTATTGGGCTGAAATTATCCCGCATGCTCAAGGTCACTGATGGAGTGAGACGCTCATAGGTCATTTTCGTCCATGTTAGTCGGCTATGTTGGATTGCAGTTCCGTAGCCGTTCGTGTACACATTGGTTTTTCCCTTAATCCTGCAGTTATTCACAACTTATCTTGATGCATATTGTTCACAAATGTTGCTTTTCAACTCATTTTGGTTTCCGTTGCTGTTAAAATTAGTTATTTCGTTTGTTTCGAGTGTTATGATATGATGTTATATTATATGTTATGTGATAGGAGTGTGTCGCAGTCAGATTACATGACGCGGACACCAACATAACTGGGCAGGAAATGAGAATTCCTATCAATCCAAAAAGCATATAACAAAATTTTATTAAAAATTATTGACAAAAAAATTTATTGAGCGTAATTTCAACCAACATGCCGGATAAGTCCAGCCATTTATTGCACTGGTTGGACCACTGTTCCTGATTAAACAAGGCCCGCTGTTCAAGCAAGCTGTCCTTGCTCACAGGTACGTTAAAGAGTATAAGAGAATTAGACCGATTAACCTCAGACTTAGGTTTTGGCAGTGTGATGTTAGCAGGTGGGGAGCTGCATAAGACTTTGCTGGGACACAAGAGCGACTTGTTGTTTCTGCTATCCGCAGACACGTTCTGTGGGACTATGGAAGGGCGACAAAGTGGACAGATGTAACAAAACCACGGGCACGGGTTATTTCTCATAAACTCGTAGTATGCTTTCGGCACCTCTTAGACACAACGGCAGTGCACCCACCGTTTGCAAAAATTGCATTCAAACGCTGAGTCGGCTTTAGAAACAATGATATTGCACGTCTGGCATTCGTTTTCCTTACTTTGTGACGCCTCCGAGGTCTTATGACGTCTTGAGCGTTTACTTTTAGGTTTGCTGTGCTTCACACACTGGCTTTCAGTTGATGCAGGTGTAGTATCATGTCTCCCTAGTATTGCCTGTGCCGTTTTACTGCTAGACTGTGGCAATGCAGGCGTAGTATCAGGACAGACGAGACCTACAGGAGTCTTTAGGATGGGCATGCGACTTGGGGTTGGTGTCCCTGGGTTTTTACTTTCTCTGGCTGAAGCCCTTGTGGCTACAGAGTAAGGTGTTTTGATGCCATTTCTAAGGTTACTTTCTACAGCCATATTAACTATCGCTAAAACTTATGCTGTATAAGAATAAGAGTGCAACAGTATCTACCCACAAGAACAAGAGTAAGACTGAAAAAGTACAAGACAAGGAAAAGAAAAGGTTTTCGACTTTACCTAGTACTTTCTGGATGATCGGCTTCACAGCAATCACGTGGAAGACCGACAAGTCTTGTTTATCTGAACGGGTGAGGAAGATGCTGCTACAAAAATAGCACCTGAAGCTTTGGCAGTAGTTCGGGACAGCTGGATTCACCACACAGAGATTCAATATGTAAGTAATGGTTGAATTTAATTCACCGACTAGGAAGATCAGGTTTCCCAAGCGGATAATTCACAAAATAGGTATTTTCCGGTTAGAGAGGAAAAAGCATGTCGTATTCAAGGAGCGCGCGCGTGTTATGCTAACAACCAGATGTGCTTCTAAAGTTTCTGAGCTCTGAGCTCCTTTCAGCCGGTCGTATTTTTCAACTGCTGAAGCAGTTATGTTCAGCGTTTCTGGACAGTTTTTCAACAGGTCTGCTGATAAATATTGGGATGGAATTCGCATACAATTCAATTTTCTGTTTTCCTGTTGAACGGATAAAAAATAGAATAACTGAGCCGCGCCACACATGGGTTTCTCCTTTTTCCTGTATTGGTCGGCGGCATTTGGAATGTTCGTAATGGGATCGAATCTTAGTGGGAGCTCCATCACTCTCTGTTGAATTCAGGCACACGCACCTAAAAAGTCGTAGACATTTAGAAATATGTAACCTACTGAAATCCACTGCTAGTCACCATCCACCAAATTTCTTCAAGTTAGACTTAATGCACTTCGAAATCCATGCCGGTCATCCAGGTGTTTACTTTAGAGTCAAATAAATCGTTATTAATGTAAGACAATTAGCCCTTAAATGGATGACCTCTGTTTCTCGCTTACTTTGAAAAGAATACCTTTATAACGAACTACAGTGCCAACAACGAAAACATATCTTGTGGGAAACGGGTAAATTACAGCTTTAAGCTTCTGGAAACTCCCTTTTATTCCAATTATTCATGGTGACAAGTACAGTTTGGACCCTCGTCAGGTGACATATGGGGACGCCTATGTTTCGGCTCCTGATAAACAGACAAGCAACAATGATCTTACCCATTTTCTCAAATCATAAGACCTGAGTGCCAACTCCGTCGAGCTAAATTTAAGGCTACTTATAGGGTAGCCTTCAGAGAGGTGAATTATATGAAGTTTTCCGTTCTACATTACAGGTCTATCTCTTATAATTCTGATAACACGGAATGCCTTTGGATCTTTCTTCCCCCCTCTGACTTTAGCAATGTACGAATAATAATACCTTGGTTGCTCAATATTACACCAGAGTAAATATCGTCAGACCACTTAATGAAGCCAGAAATAATTCATGCAAATTTATTCAGCGAAATGTTTAAATCATCCAACCTAACTCATTTGCACCCACTAGCCGTGCGAACAACCCTTATACGATTGCTTTAGATTTTTGTGAAGTACTCATGTGACAACGGGTGATAATGGTCACACTTGATTTAGGTGCTTTAGTAAAACGTAAGTTTCGAACTCTCTACAACAATAACAACGATATTCTCATTTCCACTCCATATGGCTTTGTCATCATCTAACTGCTGCTACCTTAGACTCATTCGCCACTACTCTCTCTCTGCTTTGCTTTGTAACCTTTCCTACCGTCAGGTTTTCAGTTCGTTAATGTAAACAGAAGTCAGAGCTGAACAAACAAACAGAAATAGAAAACAAGCGTTCAGATAGAGACCTGATGTCTGAGCACCAACAAATTGCGGCATTTCAGTTTTTGAATGGTACCCGTATCCATATAAATATATGTTATACAAAGAGTATCGATGTCTCCCATTAGAAAACGGAGTGAGTTGCCCGCTGTTTCTTCTCGAGTTATATAAATCTATTACAAATCACTAAATATTTCTTTGCCATGGATCCTATTTTCTAATATATGCCCTTTTCCAGTTTGTCTATGACTCCTGTGAAGTGTATTATGGTGACAGAACGGCTGCTATTTCCATTACCAACGGTGTCTTTGAACGTACTGTATGCCTCCATTTAATTATTCTGAAATTTCTCCACACTCAGTACTCATCAAAGCCACTGCGTGAGGAAGATAAGATCAATCCAAATAGAACTCTGTAGTAATCTAAAATGTTCCCATCAAATATAAAAAGGAGAATAAGAAAGTTAGTAGATTTACATAATCTCGTTACAACGATATGAGATACTGAGAGTTGATGCTGTGTTATTAGTGAATACTAAAAATTACCAAACAGCTGAACTACAGCAGTGAATCATCCGAAAAGCTAATGCCACTAGACAGAACTATATTTATACTGGAAGTATTGAATCATTTTATCTAAATATATTTTGACGAGCTTGTTTTGCCGCATCTTTGTCATGACAGTGTAACCGCAGTTTTTTGAATTATATTGTAACTGAACTTTACCGTAAAATGTCAGGGGTAGCAAACTTAAAACACGTTTTCGGTTATCGTACAGGAATATCAGGCTCTGTAGTATTTTCAGATGAACAGACAATAGTTTATCCATGCGGATCAAACTTAGTCTTATATAATATTGAACAAAAATCACAGAAGTTTATAGCAGGCTTGGAAAAGTCACAGGGGATGACAGCAATTGCCATAAGTCCAAATAGAAGATACCTTGCCCTTGCTGAAAAAACCTCGGATAAGCCTGTTGTCACTATATACGATTTACAAGCCCTGCGCAAGAAGAAAACCTTGCACACTTCAGACGTTCACTCCAGCGAATTTGTTAGTGTGGCTTTCTCACCGGACTCAAAGTACCTTGCAGTTCAGGGTGGGCATCCAGACTGGATACTAACATATTGGTCATGGGAAAAGCCTAAGCAACTTGCTAGCATCAGGACTTCTGTATCTAACCCAGTCAAACAGGTTGTATATTTCATTCTTAACACATCTAAGTTTCTTTAGATTTCATTTAGTCCTCACGATTGCACGTTAATATGTGTTGTTGGTACTGACATTTTTCGTTTGTATCGATATGGTGAAAACAACCTTAAAACATACGGTTTAATCAAGGTAGAACTTCGTAACTTCCTTTGTCACACCTGGATTAACGATGAAAAAATTGTCGTTGGAACAGAAGATGGACGCTGGATTTTGATAGAGAATGGTGAACCAAGGATAGAATATCAACTCACTACTACGGATGAAGCAGATAATAAAGGTGGTAATCAGGAAGGGTATGTTATCTGTATGATTCTGTTTTTGTATGATAAATTTCAATGTGTTTTCGGGGAATCTGTAGAAGAGCAGTGGATGTCAGTCTAAACAAATATAACATGTAAAAAACATATATCTTTTTATAAGTGATGAAAATCAGTTAAAAGTATGTTGCAGGGTTTCTGTCTGTCATATTCAAGCACACTGAAACATATTTCAGTCATAAATAATTAGATATGAATGTTATTACCCTATACTCAAACAAGATTAATGTAATATAGATAGGCCAGTATTATCTGACTACATAATTTCACTAGTATAAGTCTCGTGAATAGCTTTTATGTGTGGTGGTGACGTAATTCCATGATATGTGAAGTCTACCTGATTTGATAATAAATGTTTAAAATCCCACTTTTATTTATAAGGATGACTGGTGCCTCACTTTGGATATTTAAGTGTAATCTGTTATATCGACGTTTGTTATATGTAAAGATTTAGGCATCTTTTTATTAAAATGCACTATGTCAAAAAGGTGGCTATATTGTTAAGACTATCATTTAGTGTTTTACAGTAAGACATCTGTAAACCAGAAAGGCTATTACCCTTTGTAACCACTGTGTCTGATACACATCTACTTTTGTAAGGAGTCCCCGTTAGATTCTTGATAGGTCTTCCTTTATTTAATCCTAGCACCCTTTGTTTGTTAGTCGCTGGTGGGGCAACTTGTGAAGAACTTAATTTAAATACCTCTTTTGAATAGAATAGTTGTCAGTGCATCAACTGTTTTAGTAATTCTGCTTAAGATGTTGCTTATTCGATAGGGGATTTCAGTTTCACCAGTTATTATGTTGTTTCAGCAGGTGAATTACATTGTTCTTCTGATTATGATGCATTAAATATTTCATATTTTTAGGCAAAAAAATATTTGGTAATAATTAACACCAGCTGTAAACTAAAATTTGAAATTATAGTTATTTGACCTAGTTTGCTAAGCTTTTCTTTTAGCTAAAATAGCAATGGGAACTGGAGAGTATCCAGCCTCTGAGAGTATGAAGGTGATCATTTTGAATTTGACTGTGTCTGCTTTTAATTCACGCCACACCTTCCTGGTATGTTGCAGGAAAAATGAATTTAATTCCACTTGACATTTGTGGTGGTATTGATTTTTTAAACATTTTGAGCCGACCTAGACGGGCAAGATTTGTAGATCAGGCGAAGAATACGGTAAACATGCAAACCACTATTCACAAAATGCGGTTTGGAAGCGAGCTGAACTAGATTTTCTTCGTAGAACCTTGTACTTTGTTTGGACACTAGTCAGTAACTAGTGTGATGTGTCTAGACTTCTGTTTAGTGCAGACTGAATTTTATTAGTCAGATTTGCAACGTGACCATCATTCTAGATACCTCGCCATCACCGTGCGCTGTGAATTGTTGGTATTAGATGGTTGGAGCCTATCGAGAAGAAGCTTTGGACCTACGTTTCATGCTAGTTGTCAATCGCTAGCAAGGCGTATCTACGACCTTGTAGTAACTCATGTCCTTCTTAAGGTTCTAACCCGCATCACCCAGTTCAGTAGTTAGAGACATTAACAATGATCTATTCGGACTCCCGAATTTTGCGGAATTTTGTACAAAAGTACAGTAGCTAAAGCAGCAACGCTTCATGAAAGTAGACATCAAAACAAGTGGAAAAAAGAAGCTCGAAAATCCATAATCAGAGTAAATATAACAGGAGAGAATGGTAACATGGAAAGACATGATCTGAAAGATTACAAAGTGTAAATCCGCCTGTGCTACAGAGGAAAATTTTAGGCCATATTACTAACAGTCTGCAATCACTGGTACTTAGCCTTTTGGGGAATGCGGTTAGGTAGTCTGAGCCTCCTGACATAATTCAAACCAACAGTCAAAGACTAGAGGAATAGATAGTCTGTTTTGGTTTGAGCACTCTTAAAACGTTTCCTAGCCATGTTAATCAATGTAGCTTCACAACCACATCGATAATTTTTCCCACCTTACCTAATTCCCTACGCCAAATTTTAGCATCGTCAACCTGCGGTTAAAGGGTGTGGTTAATTAATGACTGTTCATATGTATGAATGCATGTTAGCAATTATTTAGGTAGATGAGTAAATTCCATTTTGCATAGTGGAATACTTTAAGCTTTTATAAAATAACATTTAGACCCGCCAAAAGGTGAGTGAATAATCACTGAACTTGTAATAAATAAGTAGATAAATGATAATATAACTTGAACCTGGAATATGAGATTAAAGTCAAGGTGAAAATCATTTATGTGAACTAAATAACACAAATGAGTCAATTTATATTACTGTTATTATACTACTCCCGAGTGGATCAAAGGACTTCACCAGTCCTTCACCATTCCTCCATGTTCTCTGTAGTCAATTTTAGCTGGATTCACTATTGCCAATAAGCTTTGCATTTACTGTCTACATCATCTCCTCTGTGTCACCCTATATGACACCCAACTGTTCGTTTTCCCCTCAGCTTTCACTTGAGGACCTGCCACATGTTGTCAATCAACGGTTTTCTTAGTGTATGTTCTTCAGTCCACATCCATTTAGCACTAACCTATTTTTCGAATGATAAGTTCTTGATTTGTCCGCCGGCAGAGTTCCTTGTCCACAAATAATAGGTAATTATATCTATTACTTATATTTAATAAATAGAATAATCTCTCTTATATACTAAAAAACTGTTTTTGATTCTTTCTTTCACATATTTTCTACTAGAAAAGATATTGAAGAGGTTAGCACGAAAGTTAAAAATAGTATTACTGCATTGGCATCAACATCAAAAGGTTTAGCTGTAGCCTGTTCACCTGGTTTAGTTCATTGGTTTGAACATATTGATCCAAATAGCTCACCTCGTCATTACTCCCAACAGCAACAACAACAACAACGTCAAAGTGATGCAAAATACCAGCAAAAGGATTCACTCAGTTTTACCGCAGGAAAAGCATCAATAAGTAGTCAAGTTATTCGATATCCTTCAGTATCAGTAACAGGTGGGGTAATACTGGGTGGTGCTACAGAAGCAGTGGCGACAACAACAACAGGATCAGTATCATCGAGAGATGAATATAGACTACTGCGTAGTATTCATATCCCATACGATCCAACTATCAGTATAGATAGTGAATTTAATGCTGGTCAAAATATTACTCAACTTGTAATTAGTCCATCAGAAGATTTTATTATAGCTACAACTGATACACATCAGATATATCAATTCAATTTAAATAGTGTTGATCTTAGTATAAAAGGCGGTGATCTAGTTAGCAGGAAGAATTTAGTGAATGCTGTAGTCAGAGGACAAAATCTGCCTAAAGATCAAATGATATTTGAACCAGTATCACAGTCATTTCATAATGGACAAATATTAGGCATGGATGTCTGTATGCGTAAACCGCTAATAGCTACTTGTGCAACTGACAGAACAGTTCGAATATGGAATTATGAAACAAAGTAAGCGTACAGGCAAAAATTAACAATATTCAAATCTTATTTATTGTAGTTGATTGTTCTTTTATTGATTTTGATTTAATGCACATTGACTAGCACTGGAATTGACTGTTTCAGGTGGCCTAATACATAGATAGCACTTTGGCGTTTGAAATGATGAGTGCTGGGCTTAGATCTCAGTGGGAACATCACAGCAAGTATATCCAGATGAAGAGTCACAAATTGGGCGAAATGCGAATTTTAATGGATTCTACATCCTGTCATCATCAACCAAAACAACATCGTGTTAATATTCAGACAATGTCGAAATGTCCATACCAGGTGCTGACATGTCAACAGCGACCGAGCATTTCAGTCCAATGTAAGCAGTTAATAGGAAATACGAAATCAACTTAAAATTTTCACACTCCGTAGAAGAATTATTCCTTTAAGTGTTTTAAAAAAAGAAGATGGCTGTTAATGGCTATTCAAAGTGGAAGTCTGAAATAAACAATTTACCAATGTAATAATTACTTTCATTCCTTCGCATTCGGTCGTAAGGCAAACTTATAATGCGGGGACTGATATAAAGGTCTGATTTTCAAGTCGTTGACAGGTAAAAGAGGGACTTGAACCTATGGTCTACACATGGACTGATACAACATATCCACAACTAGTTGTCATGCTCAAAACCTCTTCAGTTACATACAGATATTGACACATTACATAAATGAATCACTGACACTTCGAATAAGCATATAAGTACTCAATAAGACTTATTTACCTCCATTTTGTTTCCATCTGCTTGAATGGTTGAAAGAGAGACGATCAGTTACAGTTATGAATTTCCCCAGGTAGTTAATATTATGTGATTTTGTATTACGTGCTTGGACGAATGCTGTGATAAAATCAGATGTTACATGTGACTATGTCAAGCAAGGCAAGCTTTCACTACTCTCAAGTCTGTATGGAGGTCAACAGCACTCAGCATGAAAAATAAGATACAGATTTTCAACTCCAGTGTGAAGTCAGTGCTACTACACGGATCAGAGACTTAGCGCGTCATAAAGAGCACCTCAAACAAACTACAGACCTTCATCAACAGCTGTCTTCGCTCAGTACAATTCAAGATCAGATGGCCGGCCAGAAACGATCAGCAACAGGGATCTCTGGTAATGAGTGAACCAACCCAGCAGGAACCGATTGTGAAACAAATATGCAGGAAGAAATGGAGGTGGATTTGCCATGCTCTGAGAAAACCATCAAGTGAAATCACACGACAGACCGTTGCTCGAATGGAACCCGAACTGGAAGTGGCGAATTAGTCGTCATTGCGAGGGTGGGGTGACATGGAGGAGGTCATGTGAAGAGGAGATGGAACCATTTAGGCAGACATGGAGCCAGGTGAACACGTTAGCAGAGAACTGAACGCAATGGAGACGTCTGTATGAAGACCTATGTTCCTCTAGGAACTCAAGGAAAAAATAATAATAGTTTTTATGCAGATGCAATATCTCTTGTGGCATTCCCCATACTATTCACGGAAACACAAACTTTACGATTACTTTTATCCTCAGTAAATTCACATTTAAAAAGTCCAATTTCAACATTGACTATTTAAAACAAACACTTTTAAAATTACGTGATTTGTATTAAACATTGAACGGAAAATATTTACATTGGATACGTATGTTCATTGTACTCTTTCTCTTTCTGGCTAATTATATGAAGTTTTGTTTTATATATATATTTACTTTATTTCAGTGATTTAGAATTAACTAAACAATTTGCTGAAGAAGCATTCAGTATTGCACTTCATCCATCTGGTTTATATGTTTTAGTCGGTTTCAGTGATAAATTACGTTTAATGAATATACTTATTGATGATATAAGAACATTTCATGAATTTACAATACGTGGATGTCGTGAGGTATGTACGTAAAACCGCCAAAAGAAAACTCAGATAATTTTCTACAATTAATTTATTGACGTCTTATATAAAAGCTGTTTATAAAGATTATGTATATATATCTATCATTGTGGTTTGATAAGAGTCAGACAAAAACCATCTAAGGCTCCGTTTTGTCACATCTAGTTGATAGTGATCATTTAGTGAAAAAACAAACAAACAACGAAAGCGTTTAAGGTGATTCCTCACATTTCATTGACTCTTTCCAATGGATTCTGTATTTGTCTACTGAATACATCTGAGGCAACTGGCTTTCGAACTCATGAGCCTAAACTATGCATTCAGAAGAAGCTTGTATTGCTTTAATCCCTCCCTAATCAACTGAATATACCAATATCACTCCTAATTTATACCTTGAAAACTCCTCCTTAGTCTTACTGCCACTTTTATTAGAACATAGTTTGTTTACTTCCCTTTAAATCTAGAATTACTTAATCTGACTATATATTTCTTTTGCCTTTTGTCTACTACATCTATTGGGACATTTATTTGTATAATCATGCTGTTTTTCTTAATCCTTGTTTATTACAAATCGCTCCAAGTTTTCATCTTTTTTATTAACAGAATATTAATATCACAACTTTAGACGATTGAAGAAAATCGTTAAGAAACCGTAGATCTAGGCTGCATTCATGTTGACACTGATCATCAATGTATATCTGAAAAATTACGTAAGAAATTCAAAATTGCGTCACTTAGATGGTTGAAGGCGAAACTTGCTTGATATGTTAATTTGAAGTGGGAAATCTTCAGGATTTCACAGTAATACTTGATCAGGTTATGATTAGATTTCTGGCCAAGTTAGACAGTCACACTATCGCAAGAGTGCGAACGCATCAATGACGTTGAACGTATACTATTCATCGGATTATAGGATCAGTCATTATTATTAAAGTCCCGCTATGAACGCTGTGCACGAACTAAGGTTTTTAAGTACTGTTAGGATAATGGGTTTATAGCACGTTAGGGTGAGGATTACGGTTAGGGTTGGGATTAGGGTAAGGACTAGAGTGTTTTATTATTATTATTTTGCTTTTCTAGTAAATAAACGGAATTTTTATTTTGTAAAACTACCGGTTTTTATAATTGGTCACCACAAGATCATTGGTGGTGCGTTCTCACTCCTGAGATGGTACTATATTTCTGTCGGTAACTTATAGATTCTCACAAGGTTGATTTCAGTCTTTTCAAATTGCTTAAACGTATGAGTTATGACTTCATTGATCGTTCGGGATTGTTATTATTACGATATCGCAAAATACATTAGATTCTTAGTAGTTTTAGTGTTAAGATATCTTCAAACCTGATGATAAAGTGCCCATGATCAAAAAAGGTATCAGTGATTGGAGCAAACTAAGTGATATTTTATCCTCCTTCTCAGCTACAACCTTTGTTTAATGATCTTAAGCGTAAGGATTTCATTGCCTTAATAAATATAGACACACCTACGTTCTGTCTTTGCTAGCAAGGCGGGAGCTGAGCACATTACCTGTACACCATGCCTTAGCTTGTAAAATGCTCTAGGAAATATTATCTAGCCTGGCTAGCAAAGGGGGAAAGTAGATGTGTCTATAGTTCAGTAACAGAACATCCCGTGAAATCATGACATTCATCTCTATTTGAATAGTCTTTCAAAGTCATGTATAAGGTAACACTGATAACTTTAAAATTATTAGCTTTATTAACCAACTATTGCTATTAAGATACGAAGTGCGAATGACTCTGATTGGTTAGCGCAGTAAACAACCTTGAAGAGTTTTTGTAAATTTAACTCTCTTATCTCACATTCTAGTGGAATAGTTGTCATTTTAAGCTTTTGTTTTAATAACACATTTGTTAAGTCTTCACATAACTTTCGAATCCTTATGTTATCTGAATATTTGCAAATGTAATCAGATGTGTTTGGTTACAGGATTTCATCATGAGCTGACATCGGTTAGAGAACCATTGGAAAACCTGCAGGGAGTACTGGACAGCTGTTTCGTCCTAGTTTGGGACTCTTCATCAGTACGCACCTACCGGGATTCGAACCCAGGACCTTCTGGTTACAAGGCGAGCTCGTATACCATTAAGCCCCTGGGACCCCATCCAGTGACCCATGAATTCTAACTCCTGCCAATTCACGATATAGCGCAACCACTAGCCAATGTCTTCGGCGAGTATTTGTCTTCACACCCGACTTGCTGCACCCTACTGGTCACGACTTCCCACTGGAACCCCAGGTAACTATCTACCTGAATAGGGCCAGTCACCAGTGAGCATCTCATTGATATTCAAGTATTGGTTTGTACGGATTTGGTTGATTGGTTACAGGATTTCATCATGAGCTGACATTAGTTAGAGAACCTTTGGAAAACCTCGGTGGGTGCGTATTGATGAAGAGTTCCAAATTGGGACGAAACAGCTGTTCAGTACTCCCAGGTTTTCCAATGGTTCTCTAACCAATATCAGCTCATGATGAAATCCTGTAACCAATCAACCAAATCCCTGCAAACTAATACTTAAGTAATGAGATGTGTTTTGAAGTAGAAATGAAAACTTAGACACTACAACAGGGTTCAATGGCAACACAGATTTTGTCATTTCGCCTTCGATTGTTGCCTTACTGCATCACTAACATACGACCACACTAGAATTATTTCAAATGAAAGCGGATTCATTGCTTGAAAACAAGACAGTTGGTCATGAAAGTTCAATACAGTTCCCACTTGAAACCTGGCGTATTTTGGTCACATTATGTGATTTTTTGCATATGATAAGTGGCAGTGAAGAAAGCAGAGAAAATAGCAATGTAAGTGCGAGAAGGCGGCAACCACTGATAACAAGCAGTAGCGCTTGCTAGCCAGACCAAGATGATCTAATCACTTGACAGTCATATATTATGATCTAAATATTTGGAGTTTCCGGGGGACGTTGTCGTAGATCTTGAATTAATTGTGTTCTCTGGGCTAATTGATTTAATTGCGAAGCTTTCGTCATCCTTCTAGACAACATCTTAAGCGAAGGTTTTAGTATAAAATGAACTTATTTAAATGATGTAATTGGATATCCTAGCAACCACTGTCATGACTAGAAAATATTAATTTAAGTCTCTATTGATCATATTTTATTGACTTGGAATTCGAACTTTCTTGTCATATCATACATCATTCATGTAGAACCGTGTAAATTGTAGGTTACAAATTCGATTCTACGTATTATCACTTTGTCCGAGTAGCTAGTCAGGATTAGGGACAGCTTGAATTGATTCTACTATCTGAGCTTAATCTATCCATGTACACCAATGATGAGCTTACCCCTAAATGAACAAAACCTCCCATCCAGTATTTCCATATTAGTTTGTTTATTAGATGTATCACACAGTCAGTGAAACAGTATTGGCATTTACTGGATGACGTTTCGAACAAAATTCACTATTGTTCATAATCATATCAATTGTAATCAAACGACTTTGAAACCAATATCCCCGGTTGTAGCAGATATATTCATGGATAGGTGGGAAAACATAGCGATTGAAACGTTCACTCCCACCCCAAAAGTATGGTGGAGGTATGTAGATGACACATTCACAGTGCTTAGAACACAAGATATAGATAGATTTTTCGAACACATCAACTCGAAGGTAGAGGCAATTCAATTCACTTATGAATTGGAAAGTCAGGAAGGAGAGCTTCCAATGTTAGATTGCAACGTAAAAATCTAATCGATTCCACACATGCATATAAATGAAGGAAAAAGTTGTGTGAGTAACTTGATATGATTATGAGCAATAGTTTATGCTCGAAACGTCATCAGTGAATATTACTGTACAACACTGTGTGATTTATCAAAATAAAATCTTATCCATAATGGAGTTATGCTCTACCACAGTGCCCAAGTTTTATACTTATATGCAACGTAAAAAGGAAAGAAAATGGGAAGTTAAACACTAGTGTTTACAGGAAACCCACACATTCAAACAGATATTTGGACTTCCAATCATTCCATCCTATGTCAGTAAAAATAGGATTGGTGAAATGTTTAAGTGACAGAGCACAAAAACTAAGTAGTACCAAGGAAAATCTAAGACAGGAAGTGATACATATAAGAGAAGCCTTGGAACTTAATAATTACCCGGATAAATTAGTCAGGAAATATGTGAGGAAATGTAAAAATAAAATAAATAATTATAGTAGCGATAGTGATAATATTAATAATAATGATAACAATAATAATGATAATGATAATAATAGTGATAATAGTAATATTAATGACGACACCAACAATAAGGAATCTAAATCATCAGTAGTAATTCCATACAAGGAAGGAACCTCGGAAACCTTACACAGAATTCTTAACAAGGTAGGAATAAAAGTGGTATTCAAACCCACAAACTCATGTAGAAACAAGCTTTGTCGGTCAAAGGATCCTGTGGAACCTCTAAAACAAAAGAATTTAGTTTATCTAATACCCTGCCTGGAATGATTGTCAGGTCAAATACATAGGTCAAACTAGTAGAACAGGGGCAGTCAGACTAGTAGAACATAATTATTATTATTGTTCCCTTGGGTTCCTAGTGGAACATAGGGCTTCAACTGCACGTCTCCACTTGCTTCTGTCTTCTGCTGTACTTTTCACTTGCGTCCATGTTATTCCATACTGTTTCATCTCCTCCTCACACGATCTCCTCCATGTCACCCTTGGACGTCCCACTCGTCGCTTCCCTTTCGGGTTCCACTCGAGGGCCTGACGCGCGATGTCACTCAACGGCCTCCTCAGCGAGTGTCCAATCCATCTCCACTTTCTCCTGCATATTTGTTGGGCGATTGGTTCCTGTTTCGTTTGTTCCCATAGCTTCTTGTTTGTGATTCTTTCCGGCCATCTAATCTTCAGTATGGAGCGAAGACAGTTGTTGATAAAGGTCTGCAACCTGTTGAAAATATTCTTGGTGACCCGCCAAGTTTCTGATCCGTAAAGTAAAATTGACTTCACGTTTGTATTGAAAATCCGAATTTTGTTGTTGATGCTGAGTGACGAAGATTTCCAGATTGGTTTCAGGTTGATGAATGTGTTTCTCGCCTTCCCGATTCGCGATTTAACATCCTCGTCCGTTCCTCCTGTGGTTGAGACAATGCTCCCTAGATAAGTAAATGAAGTAACCTCTTTCAAATCCCTCCCGTTGATGGTGATTGGCATTGGATGTTGCTGCTGTTCTTGGTTGGTTATTTTCATGACCTCCGTCTTGTCTATGTTCACCTGGAGTCCTGTCTTTGCTGCTTCTTCGACCAGTTTGTCGGTTTTTGCTTGTAAGTCTTCGATTTTGTGTGACATCAAACATAAATCATCTGCGAAATCCAGGTCTTCTAGGTTCTTCACGTCGGTCCAGGATATCCCTGTCTTCTCGTTTCCCACTGTCTGACGCATAATCCAGTCCACCACAATTAGGAATATCATTGGTGATAATAAGCACCCTTGTCTGACTCCTGTGTTTACTCCAAACGCTTCGCTGAGTTTTCCGTTGTGGATCACTTGACATGTGCCGTTGTCGTACAGTTGTTGAATAAGGTTGATGAATATTTGGGGTACGCCGTAGTACTCGAGTAGTTTCCAAATTACTTCGCGGTCAACGCTGTCGAAGGCCTTCTCAAAGTCTATGAAGTTGAGGTAGAGATTTGATTGCCATTCCATGCTTTGTTCGATGATAATGCGTAGAGTTGCAATTTGGTCAGAGCATGATTTGCCTTTCCTGAATCCAGCTTGTTCTGGTCGGAGTTCTGTATCCAGTGCGTCCTTGATTCTCTCCAGGATGATGCGACTCAGGATTTTACTTGGCGTCGACAGGAGCATGATACCTCGCCAGTTCTTGCAGAGTCCCAGGTCGCCCTTCTTTGGTAGTTTCACCAGGTAACCTTTCCTCCAGTCAGTAGGCACCTTTCCCTCTTTCCAGATCTTTTGCAATAATGGAGTCAGCATATCTGCCGTCGTTTCTGGGTCCGCTTTCAGTGCTTCCGGGGGTATTCCATCTGGTCCAGCTGCTTTTCCAGATTTCAGAAGCTTGATTGCATTTATGACTTCAGTTTTCGTTGGAGGATTGGTGTCAACTTGCAGTTGTGTACGTGCTGTTGTTGGTATTACTGGACGAGTTGTAGGTGGTGGTCGGTTCAAGAGTCCTTTGAAGTGGTCCACCCATTGTTTAATCTGTCTTTCTTCTTTGGTAATTGGCTTCCCTTGGCTGTCTTTTATAGGTTTCACTTGTGTTGATCTCTTCCCGGATAGAGACTTGGTTATCTGATATAGTGTCCTCAGGTCCCTTTTGCCTGCTGCCTTCTCAGCTTCAGTAGCCAGGTTGTCGTAGAATTGTCTTTTGTCCTTCCTGGCACTCTTCTTCACTTCTTTGTCCAGTGCTGTGTAAGTTGAGTTCAGCGTCTCTTTCTCTTGTCCATCTTTGCATTGAATCATTTTTTCTTTCACCTTTCTCCTCTCCTCTATTAGTTTCCAAGTGTCTGTTGAGAGCCATTCTTTGTCTTGTTTCTTCTTTCTTCCTAAAACCGTTGAGCACGTTTCGTTGAAAATTACCTTCAGAGAGTTCCAATGGTCTTCCACGGATGATTCCTCAGTGGTGCCACGTAGTGTTTCCTGCTTTGCTCTGACAGTTGCAGTGAAAGTGTCCTGTGTGATTGTGTCCTTCAGTTTTTGCGTGTTGAACTTGCATTGTGGCCTATCCCCAGGTATCCTCGAGGCTTTCAGCTTCACCTTGAAAGTCCCTTGTACTAGATAGTGGTCTGAACCCACATCTGCTCCTCTCCTCGATCTTGTGTCCAGTAGGCTCCGTCTCCACTTCCTTGAGATTGAAATGAAGTCTATCTGGTTTTTGGTGTGTCCATCTGGTGAAATCCATGTTGCCTTGTGTATATCCCTGTGTTTGAACACACTGCCACCAATCACCAAATCATTGAAGGCGCAGAAGTCTGAGAAGAGTTCGCCATTTTCGTTCATTTCACCGAGGGCCTCACGACCCATGGTGAGTTCTCTTCCTGTGTTGTCTCCTCCCAGTTTCGCATTCATGTCGCCCATCAGGATTTTGATATCGCTCTTTGGGACGTTGTCCATTACTGTTTGTAGTTGACTGTAGAAATCCTCCTTCTTCTCATGTTCTGAGGCATTTGTAGGCGCGTAGCACTGAATGATTGTAACCTTTTTTCCTTTTGAGTTGAACCTGGCTGTCATTATCCTGGAGGAGATTGGTTCCCACTGCATGAGAGCTTTAGCCGCTGTTGGTGACATCATGATGGCTACTCCCTCGGTGTGCTCGTGATCGTCCTCTGGGTGACCGGAGTAGATTATTGTCTCTCCAGTTGATAGTTGGCTCCTTCCACATCCGTTCCATCTGCTCTCGCAGATTCCCAACACTTCTATTTTATATCTCCTCATTTCTGCGGCTACCTGAGCAGCCTTCCCAGCTTCGTACATTGTACGAACATTCCACGTCCCCATCCTTATTTTCGCTTTCATCGAAAGAAGGCACATCGGCTGACTGGCTTCCCGAAGGCTTTCACCAGCCCGCGTCATTTCACTTCCCCGATTCCAGCGAGAAATAAGGTCACTATTTGTAATTTTAGAATTTTGAATATATTTGTGCGTTGAAGTTTTAGTAGCAATTTGGTTAAGTTTTGGGGGTGGAGTTGCTAGCACCACGCCCCAACCCTCCCTCTTTATCCGGGCTTGGGACCGGCTAGAATACTAGTGACCTAGTAATCTAGGCGAGGTTAGTAGAACATAAAACCTTAGCAAAATCGAAATTGGTTGACCCAAATAAGATAAGAAATCTAGAGAATAGTTCAGCTATAGCACTACATGCAGTTACACACAACCATACAATAGGATGGGATAGGATGACAGTTTTAAAATCTAATGTCACAGGGTGGAGGGAGAGATTGATAAGGGAAGCTTTGTTTATCGAATCAACTGCAAATACATGTAATAGGAATGACTCAACAACTGTTCACTCGGACGTCTGGAAAATTCTACTACCCCAACGACGACAAATAGGAGAAAACAAAGAAAACTATAAAACTCAAGTTTCAAAGTCGTGTGATTACAATTGATATGATTATGAACAATAGTGAATTGTGTTCGAAACGTCATCCAGTGAATAATACTGTTTCACTGTGTGATAAATCTGATAAACAAACTAATATGGAATTACTTACTACCATAGTGCCCAAGTTTTACACACATATTAATATGTCCCATCCAGTATGTATATCAACTAATCACAATCATTATAAGCAGCAAAATGTACCACCTGTGTGTCGGTAGTTCAACGGTTGAATGTTCGCCAACCACACATGTCTTCCGGGATTCACTTTCCGGTTGACGCATCGCTAAAACTTTGCTTAGCCTATACTAAACCCGTTAAACAAAAAAGGTTAGTCATGAAGCTATCAATCCCACTTGACATCGTAAAAAAGGGAACCAGAGCTATTGAAACTTGAGAGTTCATGCTTCAAGCCGTATGTTCCACTCGGTACGCAAAGGATTAATTACAACGTATGCAGCATCATCAAGTTATTTTCTCATCTCAAATGTTATTTGAATCCTTTTCAGTGTGCATTTAGCAATGGTGGCCATTTATTAGCAGCAGTCAATGGAAATGTAATACAAATTTATTCTGTTACAACATTTGAAAATGTCACTAATTTAAAAGGACACAATGGTAAAATTCGTTCAATTGTTTGGTCAGATGATGATAATAAATTAATTTCATGCGGTATGGATGGAGCTGTTTATGAATGGGATCCACAGAAAGGTGAGTAATTATTATATTTTTTCCCAAGTATTATTATGCTTTTCTATATATAGTATGCTGCGTCAGTGGTTCAGGAGTCCGCGTTCGATTCCCAGCCAACGCACTCCCAAATCTCGCCTAGCTTACTGGCCGATAGAAATTCAGGAGAAGAGAGAAGATTGGGTGTGAGGCTAGCAACCTCAACCTGTGGAAAAACACATCAGCGTTGTTGAAACGTCAAAGCTCAAGCTAGAAGCCCCCTGTGCTCCACTCGGAACGCAGACGAACGGATGTAGAATGCAATAAGTTATTTTTTTTGACGTTTTTGTTATTAGAGGTGAAGTTATGCAATATAAAGAAAGGTATTCTTTTGTTTGAATTTTATATGCATTTGTCGTTGGCTGACTATGTTGAACAGAAATTCCCGGTCTCTGTTGACAAATAATAACTGGTACCCTTTTGCACAAATGGTGCCTCCCATGGCTCTCATAGCCTAGTGCATGATGATTTTGCGTTGAAAATGATTGGTGCAGGGTTCGCGTTTCAATGCAAAAGACCACCACTCACTGAGAATGCAGGTTTAGAGGCTGAGGGTGTTGACGTTCATGGATAGTACTAAGGCAAGATCTTATACCCATAACTCCAATAGTATTCGTTACGTGTAGACCAAAGACAAAGCAAAACATCAGAGAATGATCGTCTAAAATACAAAGTATATTTCGGGACCAAAAGTGTAGTGTGAGGGTGACTGCTTAACTAGCTAGAGGTAGCGCACGAACGAACGAACGAACCTAACATGACGGCGTGCCAAGTGGTGTGGATGCTTGATCGCGAGCCTTCAGCTAAACAAGTTGAGTTAATTAGTGAGGGTCAGCATCCGATGTTGAGTGATGAATGTCTTGGCTAGTAATTTTGGGGAATTATCTACCGCTACACAGTTCTATCCAGACGACGAGTCGCAAATAGGACGAAGTGCCCATCTTAGATTATACTGCTCATCACCATCAACCAGAAATAACAAATGTATTTTATTGGAAAACATTTGATAAACTTAACTTTCTTAATGTCTAAATACGCAGAGTGATATACGAATTACTCTTTCATGAACTGCAAAACATTATTGAAAATCAATGTTTGAGACGAGTACCTTCAATTTCTTATTATTATTTACAAACAGTTGTTTTAATTTAGTTTGCTGGCTAACTTATCAGCGTGAGACTTTTCAAAAATGTGTGTGAATTCAGATTGTTACGTTTCGTAAAAGAACGTTTAGAAGCAGAGAAAATGAGTTTAATGCAATAATTAATGGTGAAGTTGTAGTGAAGACAGATAAATTAGATGAAGACTAGAGACATGTTTCCACAATCCGGAAGATAAGAAAAAGGTGAATACATCTTCGCCAGTATCAACAACTTTTAGTCATAATACAGTGAATCTGAAATCATTGATTCTTAGCTTCTTAAGGACTTCAGTTACACATTCTATACCACCTAAGGAGGTTCATACGAACATTTGATGAGGATACTGTGTATCGACAGAATCAGATACCGCCTTTAGCTCAAGAAATATGCCAGTGGTGTTAGACATTGATAAGTATGGCTGCATTTCAGAACCTATTGAAGGGTGGAGACTCAACCAATATATCTTTGTGCTAACCTAAATTCTACCTGGGTTTTTCAAGTTTATTTCCATCAGTCCTCAAGGTTTTGGCAGATGAGGCCTGTTGTCCAGTTTGGCATAAGGTTCGGTTGTTGAAAGTTACAAAGTGTGATTAATAGTATGGCTTCAAGAGACTAAGGGTAATGTTTCTGTGGTCGAGGTTACTGGCTGTAGTCACATAAACAAGCTAATATGAGGAAACTGTTTGAGTAATAAGGTGAACAATGAGTTTAAAGCAAGAAGACGAAAAGGGCTGTGTAGTGAATAGGGAAACTTTGTATTTCTATGAAAGTGCTACTTCACGGCTGCACGCACTGGAGGAGTTGATTTCTTCCTCTGGTTCCTGAAGGACAATAAGGAATAAGGGACAGCTACTTGAGGTCGGCCACACACGTCCTTTTATAGAAACTAAGTTTGTTGGTTTTAATCCGTTATGACAGCTTTACTGTAGGCTTTGGACCGCCTTACCGTAAATCAGCATGCAAGATTTTTAAATTCAATACAATCCTTTCTCCGCAGAGATAGAATGTAGCATAGTTGGCTTGCTGGTCGTTTGAAGGAAACAGCATACCGGTACTACACTCCTACAATTTTAAAATCTTCGAAATATAAATTCTTAACTTTGAGTTTGTGAAAATTTTGATTGATTTTAGTGTAACTTTAATTGCTATGGAATCGTGAGGCACTAGGAAATACGTCGATGGTTTAGTAGGAGAATGCTTACCAGCCACGCATGTAGTTCTGGTGCTATTGCTGGCCGAGTAACTCCTAAACCTCTCCTAGTTTAAAGGCCAGTAGTATTGTGGTGAGAGCTGTCTGCTAGCCAAAATTGGTAGACAGCAATTGACGTCAATGTTTACGTCCCAAATCTTGGTCATGAGAAAAACAAGAACAAAGACTTAGTGTGGGCGGATACGATTCGCATATATATGGTCTGACCTTCAAAGAAACGGTCACAAAGAGATGACAGATTATCTTTCAGCAAGAAAACAACCAATCATAAGATGCTGTTTCTCTGCTAATAATAACGAATAATAATGTGCATAAAAATCTATAAATATCTGTTGATTTTCTCAATAAACAACTATCTGTTGCCTGGCCCTTGTCTTCTGTCGTTACAGTATGATCTGTAAAGAGGAAAGCTTGAGCCTAGGGTTTGAGGCCATATGTTTCAAGCTAGAATAAAGTAACTGCCCAGTACTGCCAGTTTTTCATTAGTTCTCTAACTGAAGTCAATCCATGATCAAAAGTAACCTCCACATATCAACTCTTGAAAACGTACAAATAAACAAACTATCTTTGAGTTATCTGTAGTATTCATCTACTTCATCAAACTATGTAATTTTTCTTTCATTTTAGGGACAAGAATTAATGAAAGTGTACTCAAAGCTTGTGGTTATACAAGTGTCACTGTTTCACAAGATGCTAAAACTCTCTATGCTGTTGGTTCAGATAAGACATTGAAAGAAATAAGTGATTCACAGGTGAGCATTCTCAAAATGCTAACAGAAAAAAAATCTATATTACTGTTTGAATTTCATCATGATAAAGACGAGTACTAGAACACATTTAAACAAAAGTAATAATAAGAATTTGGAATTTTCTTAGGTCGTAATTTGCCCACCCACCAAATATTTCGAAAATATTTGACATGGTCTGGACATATGCTGAGGAGACTGTTGTGTGACACTACGAGCCAGGCCCTCGAGTAGAACATCAATGGGAATTCATAAGTTGGGCATGGTTCTGAGAATGACATGGAGTTTACTGGCAATTGTCGAACTAGCTAACTGAGAATATAGAGAGCAGGGGGAAATGGGGATGTACCTCGAAAACCCTAATGTTACACTTGAAACCCAAGTCAATAATAGCAACATATGATATAATAATTTAAATGAGTTAGGTAGGTATTTTATCAGGCTGCCCAAAGACAATACCTAATCCGCATCATCGTGAACGATTTCAAGCGATATTAAAAAGTATCTCAAATCGTTGATTCTTATCCTCCCAGTATATCTTCCTGCGTGGCTCAAACCAACAGTTAGTGAACAGATGCATTTAGCAAACCGAAATACTGAGCAAAGAATATTCTTTTCGGTAACTTTCTCATAAGTTTCTACAATTATATATACATAATATCTGGAAAGTAGTCGTTATAGACAACACGGATGTTTTTCAAAATATTACTGGGTTGTTAAGGTCACTAGATTACGGTCCAAAAGCTGAATATATCAGATAAGATCATAAGAAACGCAATACAGCAATTAAAGATACTATAAACAATAACATCTTGTAAAAGACTTAAGAGGAAGGCGAAATTGTCAGATTTTTATAGTCAGTTAATGGCGGCCTAGGTAAGGAAAGCGGGTGTACGAAATTCTTTTGAACACATCGACTCTGTGCTCGATATCTACAAGGAGAGATAAAACAGAACTACGAATAGACTTTGTTTGTCGCTTACTCAACCATATTAGATGATGTACAGAAACCTAACTTGACGCCCAATATAACTGGCTCTAGGGGAGCAATGAAGAAGAAAAAACAGGCAGTTTTTCCTTATTTCTCAAAAGTAAAATTGGAATGGTTTTGAAGAGGCAGTGTACCTTTGCTACACTGAATGCTGTTTTCACTTCATTCTTTAGGCGTTGTGTTATTATTTCACTGATGTTGTCACCAAGGAACTTCAGTTAACCTTTCTTTTGGAGGAAGGTGGTGATTTGCTAGGCCTAGCACGGGTCCTTATCACCCCAATCTTCGAAGCTGAATACCTTCCTTGACCAAATTACCCTCCTTACCTGAAGCTCTACACCTAATCATTGTTATTACTTATCATATTGCTCCGCCTCATGTGAAAAGTTAAACGAAGACCCTAATTTAAGGAAACTTCTCATCTTTTCATACCTGCTTCTTTCAGAGACTGTACTTCGCAGATGTTTTGTGGGACAGAGCCAGCTTGTACACAGCATACGACTGCTAAGCGAATTCTTGCGTACAGTACTATTTGTGCTCTTTATTTTTATAAAGTGAACAGATACACATCATAATCCACTTCCAACTACAAATACATTGAAAGGATAGAAAGATGAGCGTATGCTCAGTTCCTGCTGAGCACACTTAAAAACCTAGGACTCATAAGTTTTTCAGTTCTCTATTATTGCAGTCACTTAACATCTAGTGGGGTTAGGGCACAAAGTGGCTATTTATTGACTGTCTTTTTTAACTGCTACCAAGCTAAAATCTATTCCTATTGGGCGATTTCCAATCAACTTTTCTATGTTAAAGAAGACTTAACTAAACTATTCAAGTTTGCTATTAGTATTATTTGTCTATCACGCTAGTCTTTACTTGTAAGTGAATTCCGAAACAGTCGAATTCGCACTTGGTTATTCCCGTAGTACATTACTGATCCAACAGGTTGGTTGACAACACTTCAGGGTTTGACATAAGGAATAGTGAGTTAATTTGAGCCTCAGAATAAACACAGTGACCCAGTGGAGAAGCAAATACATTCTAATGATAGGTGCTTTTGGTGTGGTTGCGTTCTCTGAGCTGGATGGTTTGGTTGCGAAGCTTTCATTGCTCTACTGAGCAACATCTTCAGCGCATACTTCGATGTGAAGTGAGCTTTTAGAATTCTCTATGAGTTTATAAGTCATCTCTTCTAGTAACCTTGAACGTGATTGGTTGTTTTCGTGTGACATTTCATCCCCTAGTTTGCTTGTCTCAGTGCTGGCTGTTTCTTTGGTCTGAATGTCGTTAGTCATTCCTTCTGTCAACCTTGAACATGATTGGTTGTTTTTGTGTGACTTCTCACTTTCTAGTTTACTTGTTTTGGTGTTGGCTGTTTCCTTGACCTGAAGTTTGACTTTGTTTTTGTGTGAATTTCTTCGTATGGATTGGTATATTTTGTCAATCTCTATGTGTCTATTAATTGCTGATTCATTTGAATACCAGGCCTCTAGGAATTCTCTGGCATTTTTGCAGTTCCCTTTATCTAAGATTTGAACATTGTCCCAGTCGAATTGGTGCCCGTGGTTGTCTGCATGTAGTGATATGAGGGAGTGTATGTCGTGTCTTTTGACAGCTAGTTTGTGTTCGTGAATGCGAAGACGAAGAGGGCGTCCACTTTGACCAATGTAATGTTTGTCGCAGTCGTTGCAACTTATCTTGTAGATGACGTTAGTTTTGTCTTCTTTTGCCGTTGAGTCCTTTGGTTTACATAGAACTGAGTGTAGTGACTTTGTTGGTTTATGAGCGACATCGATTCCAAAAGGTTTGAATAGTCTTGCAGTGATTTCGGAGATATCTTTTATATATGGTAGGACGACTTTCTTTGTGTTTTCGCTGGTGGCCTTTGATTTGGTTGGTTGAGCTGGAGGTAGATGTCTTTTGATGAAGTTTCGTGGGTATCCATTTCTTTGGAAGACGTCCATAAGATGATTTTCTTCAATTTTCCTCAAGGCGGGAGTGCTGCAATGAGTCCTGGCTCTCTTGAACAATGTACGTATGCAGCTAATTTTGTGTGATGTTGGGTTGTTACTGTTGTAATTGAGTATTTGATCTGTGTGCGTTGGTTTTCTGTATACTTGGGTTTCTAATTTTCCTGTAGTTGTTCGTTTGATTAAGACGTCTAAAAATGGGATTTTGTTTTCATATTCTTCTTCTCTTGTGAATTTGATGTCGTTGAAGGTGTTGTTTATTATGTTGTGGGTATTGTCTAAGTTTTCTCTTTTGATTATCACGAATGTATCATCTATGTAGCGTATCCAAATTTTCGGTTTGATCTTTGGCAGAATTATGTTTTCCAGTCTTTGCATGACGGCTTCCGCAATCAATCCTGATATGGGTGATCCCATAGGTGTCCCTTGAATTTGTTCATACATTTGGCCGTTGAATTGGAAATAAGTTGTGAGGCACAAGTTTATGCATTCCATCCAACTTGAATGCTGCATTTTTGATTGTTGTATGTGTTCGTCGTTGTTGAGTAGTTGTTCCATGGTTTCTTTTGCTAGTTTTAGTCCAATCGAAGTATATAATGCCGTGACGTCGAAGGATACCATTATTTCTTGGCTGTCTATTTCAATGCCTTTGATTTTCTCTAAAAATTGGGTCGCAGATTGGATGGAGTGATCACATGATTTCGTCAAGTGTTTCAGTCTTCTGTATAGTTCTTTGGATAAATTGTATGTTGGGGTTCCTGGGAGTGATACGATTGGTCGTAGAGGTATATTTGGTTTGTGTATTTTTGGTCTGCCGTAGAATCGAGGTATGACGGGTCCATTGGATTTCATTCGCCATTGATCTTCTTTTGTGATCTGACCCGTTTTGGTGAGTTTGCTTAGGGTTCTTTGGATGCGGTTGTTTAGTGTTTCGATGGGGTTTGTTGTTAATTGTTGGTATATTGTTTGATCTTTGAGTAGTTCTTCCGCTTTTGCAGTGTATTCTTCTTTGTCCATGATTACTGTAGTCCTTCCTTTGTCAGCTGGTACTATAACGATATCTTTCCTGTTTTTCAGTCTTTTGAGGGCTTTTTGTTCTTGTGAGTTGAGTTGTGTGTGTCGTTTTCTTTGTTTAACTATAGGTACTATTGTTTGACGTATCTCTTCTTGTGTTTCTTCACTTAATTTTGATGATTTGAGTGTTGATTCAAGAGCAGCGAAGAAGTCTGTTTTCGAGGCGTCTTCAGTGTTGTAGTTTAATCCTTTTTGAAGTAGTTGTTGTTCCATTTTTGATAGCGGCTGTTTTGATAAATTGACTACGCAATCAATTGGTGTATTGTTCGGCTGTTGTTTTTTGATTTTGGTTAGCTTGGTTCTGAGAACTTTTCGTCTATGTTCTCTGTGTCTACTACTTGTCAGTGCGATTGCGGTGATCATTGTTGAAAGGTGTTCTTGGCTGAGGATTTTCTCTAGTTTCTCTTTTTCAAAGTCCATTATTTGTTGATATTTCTTGATTCTATAATGTGCATCTGTAATCATTAGTTTAACCATTTTTCTTCCACATTGTTCAGCTAATTTCCATCCCATTGGGCAGTTGATTGGTGGCTTATATCTCACGCTGGTTGGTAGAATTTGATGACGAAGGCACTCATGGAGAAAAAATAGTTGTTCTCTGGTGGATCCTTGCCGTTTGGCGAAGTCTTCTCACTTTCGAACAGAAAGAAGCGTGTTCCGCTCGTATGATTTAGATATAATAGAGAAGATTTGTAGCTCAGGTGGATGATTTTGGTGTGGTTGCGTTCTCTGAGCTGGATGGTTTGGTTGCGAAGCTTTCATTGCTCTACTGAGCAACATCTTCAGCGCATACTTCGATGTGAAGTGAGCTTTTAGAATTCTCTATGAGTTTATAAGTCATCTCTTCTAGTAACCTTGAACGTGATTGGTTGTTTTCGTGTGACATTTCATCCCCTAGTTTGCTTGTCTCAGTGCTGGCTGTTTCTTTGGTCTGAATGTCGTTAGTCATTCCTTCTGCCAACCTTGAACAT